GGTGGGGGTGGGTGATGGGTAATGTGACTCTTTGCCAGAAGTCATACTGACTGGTGTGAGACAGGATGACCCGTGAAGAATTCTGATTTGCAGTTGGACCATGCAGGGAGTTATGTCACCAACAACTTGGAAATTTCTCTGAAGTTTTGTTCTTTAATGCCTTTCCCTTTAAGACCCCTATTAAAACAAAACAAAACTTGATTTGGAGAGCAAAATCTAACTTCTAAAAACTGCACACACCCTGTCAGTGTTCTGCCAGAATCTGTTGTTTATCAATACTTGCTTTAATTTGTGTGAGTGGGTTGGTGCTAACATTATTGATGGTCTCTGGGTGAACTCTATTTATATCTGTGTCTAGCAACAGCCCCAAGCTAAATGGTAGGGCTTGACGGGTTGAATAAATTTAGAATACGTAATACGTAAGTGTAGAGAAGGCCCAATAAAAAGCCCACTGCTATTCCCAGTTTTCATAAGGCTTTGAGAATTTGAAATTCAGTATATGCTTCAGTAATTCTATTTATTATTATGGCCCAAACTCAGAATTACAAATAAGTCTGCCTATTGTAAAGGGGCACTGAGTGCCACTTGTAAAGTTTGGAGCCCCTGAATATGTGAAGTGTGCGAGGATGTAGCAGAGGTCATTACCCCTCTCCTTACCCCAAACACTCATCTCACTGTGGGTCAAGTCCAGAAACCGGGCTTGGAAATGTGATCTCAGCAGCGTCTTTCCTCTGGAAACTGCAAGCTGTGGAATAGTGGACTGGAATCTTCCCAACTGCCCCTGATAGATTCAGATAGTTAAAACTACACGTAACTGTGATGTCGATGCAAGACAGTTTTATCATGAGTGCCCGAATTCAGTCGATTTTCAGTATAATACAAGTGAGTGAATGTGCGTGTGTATTTAATCAAAAAAGTCTTTGCTGACTGACTGAACACTCAAAGCAACCTCTAAGCATCAATGACAGGCTTTGAAAAGAGATATAAATGTAGACAGGTGTCCCTGCCCTGGGGAGTGGGTTAGATATGTGATGTAAATGAGAAGGCAGATTATTATAAGCTTAAACATTTAAGAAACAACCATAAACAAAATCAAGTTAAGTGAGCTACCGGTGGAGTATGTAAGGGCTGGGGGAAAAAACCTGGAAGGTAAAAGTAAATGAGAAAAATTAGCGATGATTTCTGACCCAATGCATGTTAAGATGGATTTGAGAAGCCAGGAATTAGAGTTATGCAGGGGCAGGGCTTTGGAGTTAAATGAATCTTTCTCAGATCCTGTTTATCCTTTGCCTGTGTGATCTTGGACACGTCACTTTTTTTAATGTATAAAATTTGCGCATTCAAGTGAAAGAAATAGTGCAAGGCACATAATAGTTATTCTGTATGTGTTAGGAATAAAAGAAAACACCTTCTAGGCAGAAAGTATAGAATGTGCAGTGTGCAGTGATGGTATGAATGACTAAGTGTTTGTGGGGGGAATAATAAGAGTGACGAGAGAATGTGGGTTGGTCAAGCCATGGGTAGAGCTGGCAAGAATTATGGTTGGTGGAGAGGACTCAGAGGCCAGACTCTGTTGGATGTTGATAAAAGGGTCAATAGAGTCATTGTAGGTCCTTGAACAAAGGGTGAATTTAATGGGAAGTATTGAGCCCTCTGGTCCAGGAACTGGAGGACAAGGAGTCAGGCAGGCACAAGTACATTGTGACTCTTCTGGCCTAAACAGAGACGCCCAGGAGCCATGAGATTCCTTGTGTACGTTTTTAAACTCAAGCAGCCTTTCGCATTGTGCTGAACACTGCTTGCGCCCCAAGAAATCTCAAGACTGAACGATTGTCTTCAAGCGCTGATGGTAAGGACGGCATTATGTTTCAAGTGCGTTTAACTCACATTGTCGATACTAATGCAGGGAGGACAGTATAGATCATTCAGAACTCAATATAGAAACGTCCTGGGTTTATAAAGCATTTTCCCCTGTAATTGCATTTGTGTGTGTGTTTCATCATGCTGTTGTTGAAATGGATTTGCATTGCTAAACCTATCAACCTATATTACCTGACTGGCAAACAACAATCAAACTTGGATTAAAAATGTATCTCCATAAATCCATAAATTGAGTAGTCTATTTTTGGATAATTAAGATTGGATTTTCCTAAGTCTGTTAATGATGAGCAGTTTCTCTTTAAAAACCCATGAAGGTGCAGTAGCTGCTTAGGCTATCGGCCTAATGCCCCTAAGAGCAATTAGTGGATGATGCCGGAGGTGCAAGCAGCATGAGTTTTCACTCACCGTGTTAGGAGGGATCTCACTGTGTTGTGTTGCTCTGTTGAAGCCTATGCTGGATTTCTTGAAGAACTTGGCTTTGTAGAACTCTTCCAGAGGCTCCCAGAAAATGCCAGATGTTTTCCTTCCGAAGGAAATGTGTTTGAAAATATGGTCAAGTTAAAAAAGGAAAACAGAATCAAATGAGAAGTGCCCACATTTAAAAAGTAAACAAAATCCCAGAGCTGCTCTTCTCCCAGAGACGTGCCAGTTGACCTTTCACACTGGAGGTCCTGCTTGCCTTCATCCCTGCGCCCCACCCCCGCCTCCTCACAGTCATGACCAAAGCTGGTGCTTGTGATGTCACGAGCACACGATTCTTGTTTGCCTCTTGCCTCAGGAGGTTGTCAGGTTTCTGAGCTGGAAAGAGATGGAAAAGTGAGACATCTGTTGTAGACAGCCAGTTCAGAATAATTTTTTTACTAATAATTACGTCTTAACCCGTCATTCACTCTAAGAAACAGTTCAGGATAGGATAACATATTTTCATTTTTGGTGTCCTGCTGTGACTAACTCGATGTGAGGTACTGTGGGGGATTGCTGCCATTGACGAGATGATGGTTCGCTTGAGAGAGAAGGAATAGGAAAGTGGGAACACTCGCTGAACCTCTGTTATTCCAGACAGAGAAAAATAAGGACGAGCATTGCCATTTACGTAGTACAGATTCTACGCCGTGGTGGTGTGTGCAAAGAGCATTCAGATAGTTAGGCGTGATATCACAGAGGAAGGCTAACTTAGATTCTTAAAAATAAATAATTGTTATTGGCTTCAAGGGAAGTGGATTGGCACGAGATCAAAATATGCTTTTGAGCAGACAGGGACCGAAAGCGAAGGCCGGACACAGGGATGGAGTGCACCTAGGGTGCTCTTGGCACCCATGAGGCTGGCCTGAGCGGTAGAGAACGGTAGTGATTGCTGGTGGGCAGACAGGTTTGGAGATAGATTGGTGGTGGTGGTGGTGAGTCAGTGCCGACTTGTGGTGCCCTTATGTGCAACAGAAGTAGGCATCGCTCGGTGGCGTGGTGGCGTGCTGTCGTCATGGTCGCTGCTCTGTTGGCCATTGCTGTGGCCTGGTGGCAGGCCATCTCGTTGAAGGGCTTCCCTGTCCCCTTTGGCCCTTACCACACATGACGTCCTTCTCCCGCCACTGATCTTCTCCAGTGACAGGTCCAAACTGAGCCGAAGGCGTGCCATCCTCTCTTCTAAGAAGCCATCTGGTGGTTTACACCCGCTGAAGCGCCTTGCTCTGCACTCAGTTCTGACTCTGCTGCTCTGCAGGACCGAGTAGAACTGCCTCGTTTCCAGGCCAGGCTGCTGCACTTTCCTCCTTCGGTCAGTGGCGGAGTGCTTACTCGCCGCATCACTGGGCTCCCTCTGATGAAGCATACAGGGCCTGAAAGCCAGGCGTGTGTATAAGTTTACATTTTAAACGATAGAAAATAGGGAACCATTGAAAAGTGTCATTAGGATGATTAATGTGGTGACATATTCCGATCACTATGACAGCGGGTTACAGGTTACCTTGGAGGGAAGGGACCTTGGTACTAGGGAGGGTGAAGGCCACGAGGTCTGCGTTGGAATGATGGAGTTGGTGGAAAAGAACTTGCAAAGAAAACGAATTTCATGAGGAGTGGATGTGGAATATGACGAGAGTGATGGTCAAGTATGACGATGCCATTTTAAGCCCTGATACCTGCGACACTGACTGAAATCAGGAGTTTAGGAAGGGTTCCTCTTTGTTTTTTTAAGGGGAGCATGATGAGTTCGATTTGAGATGTGTTGGATTTAAAATGATATTGGAGATGTGCTCTTAAAACTAGCGTGGAGGTGAGGCTTAATGAGATAGCAACTTTAGCTCGGCACTGCATTGGTCTAGACGGAGTAGCTGTAGTTTCTGGAGCTCTCCGAGGGCGAGAGTTGAGGGGACAGGAGACAGCGGGACTGATGAAGCTGACCATTAGCTATTCCCCACGCCTCAGGCCATCATCACTGAATCCTTCCCTCTCCTTTCCCTGACCCTCTTATCTGTTCCTCCTCCAGGTCCCACACCCACATCACATAGCTGTTGGATGTTGCTCGCCTTTGTAGGCACTATAGCACTGTCATAGCCTATGAGGAGATTCAGAGGTGAGTCAGAGGTCCCTATGCATAACTCACTGCCAGTTGAGTCAGTGCCGACGCGTGACCTCCTGTGGGTTTGTGAGAGTGTAACTGTTCACACAGTAACACCACCTCCCCACCCCATGGGTTTCTAGGACTTTAAGGGTTTATGGGAGGAAAGCCCTGTCTTTCTCCTGAGGAGCTGCGGACCATGTGGATCACAGGCCATTGCGTACCACTCCACCATGAGGCCGCCTCTACCTGGAAGGAGCTTGCAAGTCTAGTAAGAGGAAGCAGATGTGCAAAGGCAGAGTTGGGATGAAGTGTGCTAGATGCTGCCACAGACTACTGAAGGAGCAGAGTGGGGCCCAAAGGTCTACTTCGCCTTGAGCATGCGTGGCTAGAAACTCCCTCCCAGAGGAGATAGCTGCTATCTGAGCCTTGAAAGATGAGTTAAGAGATGACAGAGAGAAGACAGCTTAAAGGAATGAAATGTGCAGACTTCTGGTAACTTCAGTGCCCTGGAAGATGAGAGCAGGGATGAGTTTAGGGGAGGAAGCAAGGCTGGATCGTGGAGAGCTTTATAGCTCGTACTGCAGAAAATGACGAGCCTTTATAGCAGCGGCTCTCGACCTGTGGGTCGCGACCCCTTTGGGGGGGGGTTTTGAACGACCCTTTCACAGGGGTCGCCTAAGACCATCAGAAAAAATATATTTCACAATAATAAATATTTCACAATATGTAATTACATATTGTTTTGTGACTAATCACTATGCTTTAATTATGTTCTATTTGTAACAATGAAAATACATCCTGCATATCAGATATTACATTACGATTCATAAAAGTGGCAAAATTACAGTTATGAAGAAGCAACGAAAATAATTTTGTGGTTGGGGGGTCACCACAACATGAGGGAAGGGTCATGGCATTAGGAAGGTTGAGAAGGAGTGCTCTAGAGCAATTCTCCTCTGTCCTACAAGACCCTGTGAGTTGGGGTCGATTTGCTGGCAGCAGGTTTGGCCCTTCATTTTCAGTTGGAAACCTGACGTTTACTCAGGATCACAGAAGCAGTTTAGTAATAGTCGATCTGGAATATGATCTTCAGTGGCTACTAGGTGATTAACAAATATTAGTTCGCATCTTTATTCCATTCTAAGACCCGTCCCAGTGTCTGCTGCATTGTGCAAGGGGACTGTGTCATTCCATTCCACTTTCCTTGTCATCAGGGCCCAGTGAGCACTGGGGTTTTCCCAGGTCTGACCAAGGAAGACCTGCCATGGGGATGAATGTCTTGGGTAGAGGGACCACCTTTGGGCCTGGGGCAACTGGGCGCCTTGAAGTGGAGTGAGGAGGGTGTTAGGATGCTGCAGTACTTCTAATGTAGAACTGCAGGTTTTTATCTAGCTGAGCTGTTTGTTCCAGCTAAATTTTCATTTGAACTTATTTTGGAAATGTGCGAATGGAACTTTCGTTGAAGAGAGGTAGTGGTAAACTGGGCACTGAGAGGAAAAATCTGTTGATTTAAAGAAGATTGTTATACTTAGATTATAAATCTCCCTTTTGTTTTAAATTTCATTAGCTTGTGTGGTGTGGTGAGGAGTTACATGGTTTTTAAAATGCTAAGATTTTGTGTTTGATTCGTTTTTAATGGGGGAAGAACAGAGCCCAGGGGTAAAACAGAAGGTGTCTCAGGACCCTACCAGGAGAGTTAGGACATAAATGGGGTATGAGCGGATGGATAGATCCCTTTCCTTGCTAGGCCATCAAAATTTTACTGAGTTGTGATTTCTGTACTTTGTTTCCTGGGCTCTGTCATCATCTTTCCCAGAGAAGAGCCTTCGTTTGGAAGCTGTCCACTTTAGCAGAGCTGCCAATTCTTAATTCTTTCTCAAGTGGGCAAGGGTACATTTTGTTTTTGTTTGTGAGTGTTTGCAAGAGGGGAGGGGAGAGAGGAGGCACAGACTAGCTACTCACAGTGAGTCCTTATCTGAATTCCTACATAACTCAAAGTTTCCTAGGCTTTGTTTTGAGAGAGCACTTGGGCACAGCGGCATTCATGTTATGTGGGAAGGTGCTTTCCCCTCAGATAGCTGGTGTGTGATGGCATTAAAAGCTTGTCTCTTTTTGTGTCAGCTCCCACTGCACCCCACCCTGTTCTTTGTGCCTCCTGCACACACTGGCTGAGGGATGTGAAAGATCCTCTTCAGTCTCAAACGGAACCATTGAGGATTCCGCTGTAGATTCTTCCTGATTGTTCTTTTGTGGTTAATCACTCCACCATTTTCCACTCCCCTGGCCCTGCCTTAATTGAAAATTTTGAGATAAGGGGCTATTTCAAACATTTATAACAGCGCAAGGGGAAAGCCAAACACGAGCAACTTTGAGCCCACAACCCCATGGTAATGCATATTGAGATTTTCTTGAGA